ACGCTCTAAGTGACCCCCCCCAGGCGCTGTGTCCTGGAGCAGGACCCCCCCCCACCCACCCCAGCAGAAGTTCTGTCCCTTGAGCCATGCGTGTTAATACCTCCAGAGGCAGGCAGTGAGGCAGAGTGTGAAGCGGGCCAGCTGCGGCGCCTGAGTCAGGAAAGGCCGCAGGCGGAAGCCAAGCAGCAGCAGGAAGTGTCTGGAAGCCAGATGTAGGCTGCTCCGTAGTGTTCACGGTACAGAACGCGCCCAGGGAAATGTGGGAGGGAAGGAGGCATCGGAGCTCTGTGACACTAACCCGGGACAGGAGAGAGAGAGCCAGTGTGAGCCCAGTGCTAACCACCGAGGCCGCTGCGCAGGTCCTCCCAGGCCGTCACGCCCGCCACGCCACAGCCAAGGGGCCCACGAGCCTGCTCCCTGCCTGACTCGTGAATTAGGTACACGATAAACTGCTCAGTGTGACAGTCTCCAGGTGATAATTTGCACCCAGGTGCTTTTATATTATAACCTGACTGAGAAACTCGAACCCGGCGGCTAGCGAGTGAGGCGAGGGTGGCCTTGCCGCTCCCCTCAGACGACAGCAGGGCAGATGCCGGTTCCTCACACACAGGTGGGTCTTGCGCTCAGCTCAGCTCCTGAAAGGAGGAGCAGCGTGAAGTAGACGGTGAACACCGGCGGGGCAGGAGATCACCCCCTTTTCTGTTTCTGTTTCTGCATCAGATAAATGGATTCAATGGTCTTTAAAATTCCTTCCTATTTTTGTCATCTATCTGCATGCTTTTTCCCAAAATGCAATTAACTGTATCATTTTGTGATAAATATAGTGTGTTCTAACCTAAAAACCTCTAGCCATGAAAAAAAATACACGAGACAGAGCTGTCAGAAATCCCACCAGCTAGACCCTCAGCGCTGTTAACATTTTAGAGATCCCTCATGCCATCGGGGTGTGTCTGTTGTTTTTCTTTTTAAATATAAAATCATACCACACATGCTCCTGTGAGAACTAAAGTTTTCCCTCCACATTATGGGCTACAGATTTGTCACATGCAGTAATAAGTTGTGTTTCAGCCTTTTTAGCTATTCTTTAATTTTTCCGTTCCGGAATTGGATGTAGGTGGAAGTTGAATATGATAATTCTGACCAGATCTGCTGAAATATTTTTAGTGAGAAGCAGCATCTTGAGAATTTTCTTTTTCTTTTTTTTTTTTTTTTGATAGAGAATAGCTCCTTAAAATCAACTCAGCAGTCGACCTGGTCCAGGCCCATCTCTCTGAGGATTTGGAAACTGAACTCCAGTCTCATTAATACTGGACTGAAAATGAGAGAGTCCAGAAAGCAAGTTGAATAAAAACTCTAGGAACTTTAACCTAGTGATTAAAAGTCAAGTCCCCACTGAAGTCCAATGGTAGTGTCTGCAGCTCTTGTTACTCCCCTTTAATCTCTACCTCACACCCGCTTGCAGGCCAGGGGGAGTGGGGACAGTTCATTCAAGCCCGCACCAGCCATGGTGATCTCTGAGATGGAAGCTGAGAAGTCTTTGATACTTTCTGTAAAACATACAAGTGGAGCTTTTCCCTTAGTTCAGTGGATGTACCTCTCCCCTTTCCCTGGAACTCAAGATCACTTCTAGATAGATAAAGCTATGCCAGAAAACAAAAACTAGAAGTTTCAGGGAGGGTTAAGAAATATCTCTAAGCCTTTGGACGAATGAAGCCCTCCCTTCTCCCACACGGGCCTTTCTCCAGCTTCATGTGCGTGTGTGTGTGTGTACAGATGCCCACAGAACCTTGCAGTTGGCTACAAGAAATCATATGCTCATTTAAAATGGCCATGGGTGGGCCCTCCCTGGTGGTGCAGCGGGTAAACGCAGCACTAAGAAGCTAAAGCCACTTCCGCATGAGTTCGATTCCCGCCTGCCCCGGAGGTGACCACATGGCGCGGCACACCTCTCCTGACCCGCCCGCTGCTCCCCTCAGCAGTGCACTCGTCGATCTGCCTGCTCTGCTCCCCGCTCTGTCTCTGGTGAATCGTCTCACCACCCCTGCACCTCTGGCCTATACCCCAGCTCTGTATGCACAAATAAACAAATCTTTAAAAAAAAAATAAAATGCCCATGTAGAGCCTTCCCTGGACGCACAAGGGGTTAAAAAGCAGCACTATGGTCAGCAGTGGTCAGCAGCCACTGCAGCATGAGTTCGATACCTGGCCAGGGAGTGACCCACATGGTGCAGCAGACCTCTCCTTACTCACCTGCTGCTCCCCTCAGCCATGTATTTCAGTACGTCTGCCTGTTCTGCTCCTCATTCTGTCTATGGTGAATCTTCTCACCTCCCACATCTCTGGCCTGTACCCCAGTTCTTGTAAATAAATAAATCATAAAAAAATTAAATGGCCATGTAGAACAGTTAATGACATAAAAAGTTTGATGTACTACTACATGAAAACATATATTCTGTAACAGCATATGAATAAATATAGTTGTTTTGATAAAAATAATGGTTTTCAAAAGACAAAGTAGTTGCTCAATGAAAGGTTAATGGTGGTTAGTCAGTTCAGTGGAGTAGTTGGTGAGTTTATTTTTTTCTTTATGCTTGTCTGCTTTCCTGAAGTTTTTAAAATCAGCATCAGTCACTATTACAGTTAGTGATCAGCTCGCTTTCGGAGAGATGGGATAGCCCTAAATGGGGAGAACTTTGTAAAGTTTTGGGGTTCCTTCTATTGCTTGTTTTCCATCCCTTCCCTGGTCTCTTTGCTTCCCAAAATCTGTGCCATAAAAGGAATCCTAAAGGAGACACTCAGATGCCTGTTTTCCCATTTATTCCTCCTCTGCCTTCCACAAAAACATGCAGTTTCCAGAACTCTTCTGGCCACAGTTTTTCCTGCTTAGACTCTGTGCCCTCTATCCAGAGATGGTCTTTTGAACTTCCCTTCCTCTAACCCTTCCTTGCTCAATCGAGAGATATTATCAGAGAATGGACTGAAGGTGGTTTGTGGGCTATAAAACAATGTGGAAAAACCCTTCCTTGGGAATGATCTCTGTTATTTTATCTGATCCCAAGTATTTGTGTCTCTTTCTCTCTCATCATTATCTACAGGGCCAGACACCTCAAGACAGAGCACAGCAGGCTGGGGACCCGGATCTAGCTGCTTACCTAGAAAGTCGCCTAAACTATAAGATCCTTGGCCATGAGGACCTGGAAACTGCTGTTTGACCCTGGTAGAAGGATAAAGAGAACCTGTGCAAGCATATCACCTGTGCCCTCCCGGCAAAGGGGCGGCCCCCTGGAAGAAGCTGCTGGAATCCATGTACCTGTCTCTCTCCTCCAGGAATCTATCTGAGACCATGCCACCAGTTTGTAAGGGCTACCCAGATGGACAAGAGGACAGGCTAGCCCGCTGAGGATGAAGCAGGATGGCTGGAGATGTGTGGAATATGAGTTCCACAAAATTTGATCCTTATTGCTTCCAGCAAGTAGCATGAACTTCTGTGTTCACCTGTATCATTTCTTTTAAAGATTCAAAGGATGTTCATGTCAATGGCACCACCCCCTCCTCCCTCTCTGCCTCTGTCCCTGCCCCGTACCGCACAATTCTAACGCGACTCCCCACCCACTCAGAACCACCACACGAGTCGCTTTTACATCCAGCCTTGGACAACCACAGGACTGTCTGAAGGCCTTTTAAAACCCTCTGGATGTCCTGCAGAAACAGACCTGTCACACCGCTTCCTTCCCTGCGTCCCCACCCACCAAGACCGCTCAGTGACGGTTTGCATGTGTAGGCCCTCCCGGCCCCCTTTGACCTGACAGGAACTGGGAAGTCCACGTGGGTAGCGTCCGCTTGTGTGCCGCCTCTCTGAGGTAGGGTGAGGTGGCCCGAGCCTGGTCTGTGCTCACGGGGACCTCAGAGAGGTCACCAGGGCTCAGCCCAGGTGGCCACGCGCCGTTGCTGGTCGCCCGGCAGGGCGGGCTCAGCTGGGGCTGTACGCACCACACTGCCCGTGTGTAGCCATCTTTGCCTTTGCTGCAGGAGAGATGAGCGAGAAAGGAAACCAAGGTCCGTGGCTATTTGGCCGAGCTGTTAAGTGCCGCTTCAGTCGCAGAGCAGGACCCCACGTGTGGGAACTGTGCTTACAGGAAACGGAGCGCTGTGACAGGGTTTACTTCCAACCTTTGAGTCATCGTAGAAAGCAGGCTAATCGACATGAAATAAAACAGCAAAAGCAAAAGTAGCAACATATGTCAAAATAACACAGTTGGGCAAGAAAACAATCTTGCTTGGCATTGAGATGTGGCACGGAGGCTAATAAGGATAGACTCTTGGGGGCGGGGTGAGAGGCGGCCCATTTCAGATTTTCCTTCTTAGTTTTGGTTTCCCTGACCCCAAGCCAGCCTTGTCTCCAGGACAAAGCCTTGTTTTATGAGTTCCACTGCCATTTTCCAGGATGCCTGGATCTTCCCGACTGATGCCTCGCCTTCTAATGGTCAGGTCCACGTTGGCATCTAACTGCACTGTGGCCCCGTTTTCATGGACGGGGTGGTTTAGTCTATTCTACTTCCCTGACTCTAGTTCTCCATGCAAAACACTGTGGGAGCCCAGCCAGAAATATCTGCCTGGCCCTGAAATTGCACTTTCTAACCCTGCCACAGATCTGATGGCCTCAAGGTACCTGTCTTGGGGACTCTGTGATATTAAAGTATCAATGGAAAAGGCATCTAGCTTTGGGTGAAAATGTCCGCTTGACTTGGGTGTACATCCGGAGTGAGAACAGGGGACCAAGGGTTTCTTTTCAGATGGTCATGGATGCCCGCTGAGCTGTCTTGCCTTCTGCTCTTGGACCCAGGCAGAGTCCCTCCCCCGGTTCCGTCTCTGCACATGAGCCTGAGCTGTCCTTTCTGTGCATTTCTCTTAAAGGTCCAGTGATGACACACCGCTCGCTTATTTGAGTCAAATTTTGATCAGAGATCACCATTCTGACAGCAGACCTGCTGTATTTCATGGGAACAGCCTCTCAGTGAATGGGTGCGAAGTCTCCACTTAGTCTTCGTCAAAATCAAAAGTTGAGCACGATGCCTGGTGGTGGGAGGTTGGTTTGGCTGTGAGAAATCGAGTTCCATCTGTCAGCCTTAGAAATGGAACCAGCTCTTGGGTTTTACAGTGAGGAAAGGAGGGACTCAGTAGATTGTTTCCAGAAGCTGGAAAAAATTATATTCCAGAAGAGTTTAATCACTGGGACTTCTGCCGGGAGTCTTTCAGTTGGTGGGACTGTCAAAGAGATGTTGTGATGACAGAAATATAATCCTTAAAACAGACTGGAATCTGGCTTTGGCTGGTGCCTTCCATTCCTAGATGGAGCCAAGCGTTTGGACACGTCGTCCATCCCCCCTCTGCCATTGCTGGGGTGAAGGATTTTTTTTTTTTTAAACCAACGACCATCTCATATTTCCTGAGATGCTTCAAAGCAGCCCAGAGAAAATTTAGGAGTAGGTGGCTATGGGCCAATTCAAATAGCTCCAATTGAAGTCACAAGTAAATCCCTGGTATGAAAATAGATGAGGTACTGACGACTGGAGGCGTCCTGTTACATTTGAAAATCATTCCAGGAAAGAAAAAATAAAAAAGCATTAGAGTCAGCCCAACATTATTGATGGGGAGCAATATTTGACCAAGGCAAATCTCTCTTGGAAAAAGCAAACAACCCCAGGACTCGAGCTTTCCAAAAATGAACATCAAAAATGAGCAAAACCGTTACATGTTTAATGGCTTCAACATTCAATCTACCTCCTGTAGCACGTTTCTTTTTTTAAATTTATCACGGCAGGTGACAGTCTGGGCTTTCAAAAGAGCACAGGCCAGAGGCTCCAGGAGTCCCCCACAAGGCTGAGGTAGAAGTTGTCCTCTTTAATGGGCCACCAGGAAGGACAGGAACAAATGGTCCGGTCCTGCTCCGGAAACTCGCCTCACTTTCATTTAAAAAACATAAAACTGCATCCCCATAGAAATGGCATTTTCTGCAAAACCTACTGAAACAGAACTGCAGAGAGTAGCTGCTTCTGCTCACCTTCTTCTGTGTGTGACTCCGCCGTGCCTTTGTGCGCTGGTCCCTTTTCTCTGAGGTCCCACTTTTAGATCAGGCTGGTAGAAGTTGAGCTTTATGAAAAGTTACGAACAGACAACAGAATGTCACCTTAATGGTAGTCAGTTTTGAAGCCTGACATTTCAGGGTCACAGTTAATGAAGTGGAAACCAGCAAAGCTGTGCTTTATCTCATTTGAGGACTTGATCAAGAACAGAAGTCAAGAAGGAAATAAATAGCACAGGTGGGAATTTCACTTGGAGGGTTCTGGTTTTCCCTGCAGAGGCACTAACCCGAAACCAGTGTGATTGCTGAGATAGAATGCAGCTGGCAATGACACATGAAATTAGTGACGATCGATGGAAAATGTCCCAGCCGCTGGCTCCTCTTTCCTTATGGCTGGCGTTTTCGATGCTCAGGCAGGTCTGTTTGTGTTGAGAGAGACGCGACAGGTAGTTTCATTTTCATTTAGACCTGGTCATAGTTTCTTTGCCTAAAGGACTTTTTTTTTTTATATAAAGATTTATTTATTTATTCGTACAGAACTGGGGTACAGGCCAGAGATGCGGAGGGTGAGAGGATTCACCAGGGACAGAGTGGGGTGCAGAACAGGCAGATCGACGAAGTACACTGCTGAGGGGAGCAGCGGGCGGGTCAGGAGAGGTCTGCCACGCCATGTGGATCTCCTCCGGGGCAGGCGGGAATCGAACTCATGCGGCAGCGGCCCCAGACTCTCAATGCTGTGCTTCAACCCGCTGCGCCACCAGGGAGGGCCCACCTAAAGGACTTTTGAGGTTTACTTACCACACTCCTTATAGCATGCAGGCCTTAGAACAGGTGGGACAGCAGCTTCATTTTTGTACGGATCAATTTTTTATTTTTCATATTTAGAGTTTTCAATCCTAAAAGTAGAACATGTCTCTTATAGAAAGTTCTGGCACCACAATGAAGTATCACACACAGAAGCAGGGTGGGCTGTGCTGGTGCAGTGTCTGTGGTCACACTCCCCAGAGAAGATTGTGTTAGCACCGTCCACACTGCTGCTATACATTATGTCAGCACACTCCGTATACACAAGCCCTCCATGTATGTATTTATCTCCATACATACATGTGTACATAGACTACATATACATCTATTGCCTAGGTTTCAACAAGAGACAACATCTTAGAAGCATGCTCACCATCTGTATATGGATAGTAACACCCACAGGCGAAGATGAGCAGCAGAGAATGTTCATGGATTCTCCATGGTTAATGCTGTAACTTGGCTCAGTTCTCTTACTACCACTCTTTAAATGCATATGGCGTCAGCTCTGGCCTGTGCCGTAAAATCACGTCCAAGAACTCTTGTGATTGTCGCCTTCCACAAAGCAGAATCCTGCCTGAGCCCTGAGACTTGTTTCTGCTATTTTTGAATCTCAAGTGGAGAGTTTCTTCTATGATGCGTATGCCACTTTACAAAGCTGAGTTTATAGGCTGAACGAGCAGGAGGTTGCCTAATGATATTCCATTTAGGTAAGCTCCTGCCAGGAAGGTGTAGTGACTTGGATATGGGCTACTGAGGACTGAGTGGGCTGGCTTCCTGCCAGTTGAACTAACTAATGAAATCAATGAGAGCAGCTGGATACTTTATTCAGTTGTGCTATTTAAAAATAAGAATAGATTATTGTGAAAATGGCTCATCATAGCCATCAAATAAAACAACTAACATCGCCCTGCTCAAATGGATTTTTTTTTCATTTTCAGGAAAAAAATCTATTAGCTTTCTGATTAATCCTTAACACTTACTTAGTACAGAATAGCTTCTGCCCCAGGTCTTAATAGAACTATTTCTGCATCTGTCAACTTTTTCATTCTCTGACTTCTATATTCAGCTGATTTTCAGTGCTGGCTGTCTTTTTCCTACCAAGATGTCCCAGTTGACACTCTGTGTCCTCATCGTTATTCATCCCTCACCCCTCCAATTTTCTGACCTTGGCAAAAGTCCTGCTCTTGGACCTCCTGCCGCCTTCAATCAGTTTGTCATACAGCTGCCAAAATCCCCAAGACTCTATGTTCGGATGGATCAAAATGAAATTTCTCTCCAGCACAAGTATTCATTGTGCCCAATTATAAATAGGTGTCTGCTGGTCTTGGTTATTTTGTAGAGTTACAAGCCTTCTTCTGCGAAGTCACCTACCAGATAAGTTTAGACTTTGTTTTTCTAAGAAATTTTCTAAGACCTTACTAAATTTTGGACTGAGTCACATCTTGAGAACTCACTTGTTGACTTCTGTGTTCCATGTTATAATCAGTGTGTGTCTTTCCCCCACCCCAACCCCCGTCCACACACCCTTGGTGGGGAAGAATAACTGGATTGTAAATGAGAAGCCTTAATATGGGAGCTAAGCTGGGCATCATGCTTTTGATGACCCACTCCCCCAGGACACCAAGAGTCACTGTACTGATCCCCAAAAAGAAAGCAAAAACATTTCCTAGGCTGTTTCAGCGCTGCATTTTAAAGCGGAGATTTGAATATTGGCTACCATCCTCCAGTGGCTATATTCCAGAGTCTGTTTCTGTATGTATTCAGTCATTATGCATGCAGGGCTGTGTTCATGAATCAGTCATACGTTTATGTATTTAACCACCTGTTTAAAAAATATATCTCTTGCTCTGCTGAAGACACCATACTTAGGATATAAGCATGAATGCCATAAGACATAACCTCTTGATATGGAAGAAAAGACAAATTCTATGTGTTAAGTTCTGGGCAGAAGAACCCTGTGAGACTAGAGGACTTGTACCAGGGGTGTAAGTTAGTACACATTTCCCAGTCACTCTATGAAACATGAAATGGGCATATGAATAAGATGAAGAATTAGTATTTTTATTTTCCTTGTCTATTCATATTTGAAACTAAGATTTTAAGACTTAGGAACACTATTAAAATGAGAGCTAAAATTCTTTTACTTATTTCGCAAGGACAGAACTAGAAACAATATGCAACATTTGTAGTGGGTTTTGAGTAAATATAAATGGGGAGTCTGTCTATTGTTCAAGAATGGAATGGATAATGAATTTGTGAACTTTGAGCCCTTGGGAATCTTTGAACAGGCATCACACGATTACCTTAGAGATGATGTTCCCATTTGAGGTGTGTGTTCTGACAGGCTGGGCTTAGATCCTGTGCGTTGCAGACTTTTTCTTTTAAAATGACTTTGTGGAAAGCAGGATTACATTGAAAATTTTATGAAAATCTTGGCTTTTAATCTTTAAAACATCACTACATCATGAGAGCCTTTAAGATCTTGGAGGGAATGACCTTTTGTTATCACTTAAAACACTGGAAAATCAACTTTGCATGAATCTAAAAGCCAGTGAAATGAAAACATACTAAAAGCTATAACTTTAAACCATGTCTGGAAGCATTATGGATTTTTATGAGTATTCTTAGGCTCTCATATAAAGTCCTATTAAAAAATCTATTTTGCTATCCATCCAATATAAAAAGTGCTGTGACTTGATATTCTTAGAATTAAATGTAATCTAATATAGCCATAGAAAAAAGGCTGCCTAAAAGATGGTTGGGAGCCAAGTCAATGTGTGTGAAAGGCAGTCGTGGAAAGCACTCTCACCACATGGTAATTGCTGGGGAGAGTTACCCAATGGAAAGAAGAAAGCCATGGCTTTGGCTCGCCACCCATCTTTCCCCAAGCTTCAACATTTGGTGCCAAATGGTATCTGAAAAAAGACCAAATGGTATCTGAAATAAGAGGGGACAGCTGAAACTGTCATGATTCTTAATCCTTAAGGGAAAGATAGTTTTTGATGGAAAATAGCTTAGAAATCTCAAACCTATACTGTGTATTCAGTATTTCTTCTTTTTTTAATTAGTACTTTTGTATTTGGATACATTTTGACACTTCGAAGCTGCCCTACCACAGTAGCAGTGTGGGTAATGCAGATGATACACTTTAGATAAAAACATGGAGTTTCTGAGCAGTGACTTCAGCTTACACAGATTTGTGTAGTAAATGGTCAAACTGTAACCAGAACTAAAGTCTTTAGAAATTACAGACTGACATGTCTGAAGTAGAGATTTTCCAAGTTAATAAATTCCGCTATTGCCTTCTTTCCCAATGATGATTCAAATTGTCATAACTCAGAAGGTGCCTCCTTGGAAAAATATTTCCCTAAGATCCCATAGCAAGAGTTGGTTATGAGAATGAGAGAATATGAAGTGAAGAGTCAAGAACTTTTGCTCTGAAATAGAGATTTACCATCTTGGATATATTTCAAGGAGAGAAAAAGCAAATATTTTGGTACCAGAGTGGGTGTAGAGAGAAGAAGTTGAAATGAGGGGGAGGGAGGTAACATTCTGGCTGGTGATTCTCTGCAGTTAAAGTCAGTATTGTCTTTTCTCCTTGGAAGTTAATCCTGGAATATTTTAGAATACTGCAGCTAACAGTGTTGAGATCACTCCATTGCTCTGAGTTTATGGGTAGGGATGCAAAACTAAGTCTGTCATCAAAGTCACTTGCCCAAGCTCTAGTACACCTACCAGTAATTACACTGCCCTTGAAATGGAAAGAGCAAAAAAAATCTGGAATCTTCATTAATGCCAAATCTCCGTTTTTACAAGTCATCTATATGGACAGGTGACAATGTAGAAGAGGGATGTTTGATCTGAAAAGAAGACAAAATCAGTTTAGGAATAGAAATTTTAGAAGGAAGCTATTAAGTTGATCTCCAAGATTCATGGTCTGGAGGACAAACAGTTTGAAACATATCAGTAGGACAGAGGAGATCAGGAACAGACATGAAAAGAGGTGATTGATGACTTAAATGAGGATTTAATTTTTCCTAAACATATCAAGGAAAAATAGATTGAATTTTCTTTAAAAATATAGAAAGTTAGTGCTGCTAGTGTTTCTTCTAATCTGTAAATGAAAATAATGAACAAGCAATTCAGGGATCATGTAGAAGCAATTTCTTAATTATGAGTGAGCTTATAATACTCAAGTATTTCTGTGGTGTTTTCCGGGTTTAGATTTCTGTGATATTTAAACTGGGGCATAAGTTAGTCAGTTACCTCTCTCCTCCTATACAGAAAACAATGAAAGCTTTTTTTTTTTTTTTTGTGAAAACTCAAGTGATTGCAAATATATCCCAGAGCTTCAAGAAGTATTTCATGACCCAGAAGTGTTTGCGTGCACACACACACACACACACCCATACACATTTTCTGTTGCTACCCAATTCCAAAATTTCTTGAATAACATATCTTTCTACTATGGCAGAATACTCACAAATTCAGAAACTGAAGTGGAGATTAAGGCCATAATACTCACTTTCCTACTTTCTACACATTTGATATTGTGGTTGTGTAGTTGGAACTGGGATTTGAAGGGACAGGATTTCTCTATTTTCTGTAATAAAGAGACATGAAAGCAATGTCTGTTACTGGTCATCATTAAATGAGGACTAGCCCAGTGGCTCTGTGTTGTTGCGTATATCTGGACTAGTTTTAATCTCTCACTTTCCCTTCTGTATTCAAAGGCCTGTG